TCATGACCATCTAATTTGGCTTTTTATTATCCTGTTTTGACATCCCATAGACAGATAGAGTTATCATAACTACCAGAAGCTAATGTATTTCCATCAGGAGAGAGACAGACTGACCAGACAGCATCATCATGACCATCCAATTAATATAAATCGTCTATTTTTTATTATTACCTATTACATCCAAATAATTAAGTACCATTTAACTTAATTCCATTGATACTCATATTCTTCAATTAAGATTTAGATAAATTGCATTTAGCAAGATTACCCCAAATAAATTTGTATTTTCAATTCTTTTATTTTCAAAATTTTAGTTTTTAGATCCACCTTCATTTCAACCAATATATTAAGTGCATTAGATTCAATTATAATATATTTGTTATCGATTTTGGTAAGAATTTCAAATATTCAATTAGTTTATCCTCTTGTAATATTTTTAAATGAGATATTATTTAGTTTCAATGTAGATTTTAGTGGAATAATAAACAGAATTAATATCATTTTCTTTTATGGTTTTGATTAAATGAGTAATTGAATTAATAGTCTATTCAAAAGCATCAAATTATTTCTGTTTTTCTAAAAGTGATATGATTCCAATTGAATTATAATTCTAGGAATAATTTTAATTGATATTTTTTAGAAACTCTAATTTTGATTCACATCTTTTGACAATATTTCTATTAATATCTATATATCAACATCTTTTGATTGAACTAGCAATTCATATAAATCAGCTGCAATTAAAAACTCTTATATTGATTTATGGGGAAATTTAAAGTAACAAGCGAACAACTTCTTATATCTTTTTCATAAGCCCTGCATTAAAAGTCATCATCATTAAAAATAATCGTTTCGCCATTTTTTCATCTTAATATAATAATCCTTATTATTAATATTACACTTAAGCCAGTTTTTGCTAGCTCATTTTTTTTGCAAGTTTAATTGAATATTTTTATAAATCATATAGATGACGATCAATATTTATAGATTTTCCTAATTTTCTCTATTCTCTATTTATTTCTTATTGTGTTAATTTATATACTCATCAGTAAAATCATAACTTGTAAGATTAAAATCTTTTAATACATCAATAACTATTTAAATATAATCTTCATTTTGAATTGCACCTTAATCTAATGATTAATCTAGAAGCACAAAGTTTTGTTCTAATATCTCCAAAAGTCTGATCTTGAAATGAACATTTTCTTCAGAAAATTACAATAAAATAGGAATTGAATTTTCTTCTATTTTATCCCAAAATTTGAATGCAATTTCTTATTATTGTAGTTTTTCTAAATTTTCGATATTAAACAATGT